TAGCAGACCACCCCTCCAGTTACCTTACAAGGGTCTCTTACGAGTGATCTCCCACATGATGAAATTCTTCACCATAAAGTGCCAGGGAAAGTAGGAGAACATCACAATTGGCTATCTTTAAAACACCACACTGTGATTCTGCCCTAGACAATCCTTTGGAAACACTCCAGCCAGTGACACTGAACACTTTTTTTTCCACAGGTACCCCCACCAACACTGTAGGTACCTCGAGATCCAACACCTGCACCGATGTCAGCTGTTGATCCTGTACAATCTTCCACCCCATAGTCAGTCAGAAGCAACACCACCACTGACTGATATGCCTCAACCTAGTTATTCCACGATGCCAGCTGTTGATCCTGTACAATCTTCCACCCCATAGTCAGTCAGAAGCAACACCACCACTGACTGATATGCCTCAACCTAGTTATTCCACGATGCCAGCTGTTGATCCTGTACAATCTTCCACCCCATAGTCAGTCAGAAGCAACACCACCACTGACTGATATGCCTCAACCTAGTTATTCCACGATGCCAGCTGTTGATCCTGTACAATCTTCCACCCCATAGTCAGTCAGAAGCAACACCACTACTGACTGATATGCCTCAACCTAGTTATTCCACGATGCCAGCTGTTGATCCTGTACAATCTTCCACCCCCATAGTCAGTCAAAAGCAACACCACCACTGACTGATATGCCTCAACCTAGTTATTCCACAAAACAAATTTGGTTACAGCCACCAGTGTAATCTGCACTCTACAGTCTCACCTGGTCACGATGCTCTCATACCACACAACAACCACTGCTGTAACCTTTACATCAAATATATATCGAGTTACCATAATGTGTGTGTTTATTATCCAAACCTGGATAATTGTTCATTAAAATACAATCTTAAAAAATTTGCTGCTTACATTGCTGCACATTACATAGGGTATTACATAGCACCAAAAATGAGTTTAGAAAACTTAATGTCTGTAGTCAATTCATCTACAGTACAAGACAAACATTGTCCACTGAAATTCATCATTAAATTTGGTAGCGGGAAAGCTTCCTAATACTGTGTATAAATGTAAAACTCAAGACAAGGGTAAAATATACTTTTGTACAACTGAAGCAACCATGAAAACATTAGAAGATATTTACAAATGAAAATTCCCAACTTATGGAAATTGATTGACTAAAATAATAGAATCATTATTCTATAAACTTACAAGTTCTCTGTTTGATGTGACAATAATTCCTCCATCATCAACCAGCAGTACCAGATATTCATACTGATCCCACCGTTCTGAATTCCGCAGCTGTTCCACAAAACCATTGTGTAGGGAACTTGAGGTAAGATTTACCGCCACAACTGGGAAAAAAAAACAGCATTTAATGTAATGAAATGCCAGTTTCTGGAGGAGCTCCAGTGGCTCCCTGAAGCTATCTTCCAGAGATTGCTTCTTACTAAAATGTCACATCAGTCATGTGACTGATGTGACATTTTAGTAAGAAGCAATCAACTAACACTGAAGCAAGAAACTAACACTGGCTCTACAAGAGCAGCGTTAGTTCTGTATGACTCAGTTGCAGTAGTTTGATGGTTTTTGAGGTATCATTTTCTGTGAACCCTGCAGTTGTCTGTAAAGCTGCGTTGATGTTCTGGAGGCTTTTTTTATCGAGGTGATGGATTATCACTTGCTTTCCCTCTGAAGGGGGCCAGGTTCTGACTCTGGTGTCCGATAGGCCAAACAAAACTACCTGTCATTGATATGATTTTTTAAAATAAAGCACTCTCAGGAAGATAGCTTCAGGCAGCCACAAGGGGCTCCCTCTAAAAAATGCCATAGATAACTATATTACATATCTTAGCACTGAAAAATACCAGGACATATTTCACCGACTTAAGACTTGGATTATGAGTGGAATTGCACACAACTATATTATATTGTATTGGTAATGTGATTCTGACACCAAGTTTAGGTTGCTGTGATGATATCTTAATGCCCATTTGCTTAGAGTCAGTGCCATACATACCTTTCCTATGTACAAATTTGTGTTTTTGTTCACATTTCATTTCATTTCTATGATCTTTGGTGTAAGCCTATGTACTACATTACAAATTTTTACCTAAATAACCTTACCTTACCTAAATAAACATTTGATTTTGATTTTTTTTTTTTTGACAAATATGTTAGACACATCTCATAAAAATTACAGTGAAAAATTCAAGAATACACTGTATTGTAGAGCATTGAGTATAATGAAGAGCACTTTTCTGGAAACTATGAGAGGGGAAGCAGCTGAAATGGAGAAGAGATAAAGGAAATCCCAACATTTTTGGTCAAAGCAAAAGAATCCTTCCATTCTGCTTCCTGTAAAAACCTCGCAATTTGGAAACAGAGCCCCTGGAGACAACAGCCTCTAGTTCCAGTTTGATGCAAAAAAGTCCAGCCACAGGCAATCAAATGACTCGCAAGAGCAACAGGACACATAAAATAAAAAAAATAAAAAAAAAATAAAATAAAATGTTTATTTAGGTAAGGTACATACATACAATAAATTTTACAAAGATTGGTTGACTTATAGGTAGAGCTAGTACATACAATGCCTAAAGCCACTATTACGCAAAGCGTTTCGGGCATGATAAACTTAAATGACAAGCTTAATACTAATTGAGCATAATGAGTAGAATGAAAACAAGAAATGAAAACATAGATGAAAAAGCAGCACAAATACAATTAAGTCGACAAACAGCGCTCTGTAAAGAAAAAACAGACATTGGTTGACAATAGAAGGGTAAGGTAGGTTACAAGGAATTTATTAGGTATAGCTTCGTTTTTAACTTAAACTGGTTGAGAGAGGTGGCGTTTGACATTGACATTGGCGACCGTCAATTTCTTTTCCCTCCACAGTGAGGGGACAGAAAGGAGACTATCTGGAGTACATTTCCCACGCCACACACATGAGCCAAGCAGAGAGCCTAACCCCGAGTAACCAAAAGACAAGCAGCATACAGAGTCCATCCCCACAGCACAGAAATGGAAATGACCCCACATAGATTCAAAGAACCACCAGATCCTTTGTTTTGGCCTGCTTTATAAATAATAAAGGTTTGAGGCAGTTTATTTTCCTTGGTCAGCTAGTAGTCTGTACTTTCTCTCTTGCTCTATGTCTGTTTGCAACTTCACTGCCTTTCTTGGGTATTTTCCTCAGTGCTTCTCTGGGCTTGGGGCTTTTGGTGGTAAACATGGGTGTTCACCTCTTGTTCTTTAGGGGGTGCCTCTTGGCTTCATTGCTCTTGTGCAGTACTTTGGTGTTTAGCAGGAGGCACCTACTTCTCTGTCCAGACCCCCATCTTGTTCCCATGGTCAGCCCTGTTTGTCTTTTACGATTCAGAAAGAACATTCTCCTCCACTGAGGTGCTGTTGCGAATAAACTCAGGAAGCTATTAATGGGGCCCTCCCAGAAATCAAACATTGAATACCATGAAACACACTTTTCTTGTTTCTGAGGCTGTGAGCAGCAGCAGCATCGAACAGCCCGGTTGATTGGAACATCAACCAGGAGCCCTGGTTAGAGACGGACCATGGGGACATTGGTCCTCAGAATTATTTACAAGGATACAACAGGTATTCAGGTGCCATACTTTCTTCTAGCAGTCACCTATGCTTTCTGGTGGGATTTTCTCATTTTGGGTTGATCTCTGATCCCCCATGCTTCCCTCACCCCATTCTGGTCCTGGCTTTGGGTATATCACAGGATGGGTCTCGAGAGGCCTGGGGTGTGTAGCTGAAGATTAGCGGTCACTAGAGCTATGGTCAGAGACCTACGAGGGGAACCATGAGAAAATAAAATTTCATTATATACAACGCTTTATCTAGTTTGACCAGACCACACACTAGAAGGTGAAGGGACGATGATGTTTCGGTCCATCCTGAACCATTCTCGAGTCACAATCGACTTCGACTTGAGAATGGTCCAGGACGGACCGAAACAACGTCGTCGTCCCTTCACCTTCTAGTGTGTGGTTTAGTCAAACTACTTCAGCCATGTTATTGTGACTCATCGCCTCCAATGCTTTAACTAATTTTAATTAATTTGGTGTTTTTTTTAACCCTTTTCTCTAACTACATTTACTGGAACTCCACTAACATAACTTCCTACATAACTAACCTAATCTGCAACAACATTGTTAATTAAAATATCTCGTCTTCAGTCTGGGAACCTTAGATCACAACCATTCAGGTCGACAAGTTTGTTATACTGTATATCACAATATAACAGTTGGCATATCACAATAGCATGGCTGTGAAATAGCTCCAATGTGAAAATCATTGGAGCAGGACAGGGACTGAACCAGCATCATAGGTCACCCCAGACACATACCATAAGTTAACTAACCCATTGGACCATGATATGCATTATGTAATTCAGATGAATCCCAACATACTTACACATATCTTCATATACTTATATACTTACTTACTTACTATGATATACTTACAGCATATCATAGTCCAATGGGTCAGGGTGTGCATCTGGGGTGACCCCATGATGCAGTTTCGATCCCTGTCCTGTTCCAATGATTTTTGCAAAGCTTGTGTATTTGTATGCAAGTAACTCAAGATTACTAATAACTAACAAATTCTATACAAAAACAAATCAAGATAACTAACCTGCAGCCATTACTTCAGATCCATCCTTTTTTACTATGACTGGGGCAGAAAGAATAGCACCAAGGGAATGAGGTATGACAGAGACTTTCCTATTGAGCTCTCCTCTACGCAGTGCTGGGTTGTACCAGGGATCCTGCCACCTGCTCACCCCGGGCTTTTGGCTATTTAAAGAAAACATTAACTAGTGTATATTTTACCTTGATCTTTTACATGTAGGTACACAACTATATAAATGATCCAACTGAGGAATACAGAATTATATTAAAATGTTTCTTGAGGTTATCTTGAGATGATTTCGGGGATTTAGTGTCCCTGCGGCCTGGTCCTCGACCAGGCCTCCACCCCCCAGGAAGCAGCCCGTGACAGCTGACTAACACCCAGGTACCTATTTTACTGCTAGGTATCAGGGGCATAGGGTGAAAGAAACTCTGCCCATTGTTTCTCGCCAGCGCCCGGGATCGAACCCGGGACCACAGGATCACAAGTCCAGTGTGCTGTCTGCTCGGCCGACCGGCTCCCTGATGATGATGCAAAGCTACTAGGGTAGGTAGAAAACTTAAATGAATGTCATGTCCATCAAGATGACCTGGACAAAATAAGTGTATAGAGCAACACTTGGCAGATGGAATTCAACATGAAGAAAGGCCATGTTATGGAATGTAAAATAGTATAAAATAAGCTATGCACAATCTAAAAATTATATGGACAGTAATTAAAGAACTCTAATAAAGCAAGAGATCTAGGGGGTAGTTCTGGATAGTAGAATGTCACCAGAGGAGCAATAAAGAATATTGTGCGAGGAGTATGTGCTACGCTTTCCAAATTCAGAATTGCTTTTAAATACATCGATGGTGAAATACTAAAGAAACTGTTCACAACTTTTGTGAGATCAAAATTGAAATATGGAGCAGCTGTATGGTGCCCATATCTCAAGAAGCACATCAACAAACTCGAAATGGTGCAAAAACATGTAACAACATGGCTTCCAGAACTGAAAGACAAGAGCTACGAGGAGAGGTTAGATGTGTTAAATATACCAAAGCTAGAAGGAAGAGAGAAGAGGTGAAATGATCACTACCAGCAAAATAGTAATGAGAATCAACACAATTTATCAAGAAGAATTCCTGAAACCTGGAACTTCAAGAACAAGAGGTCATAGATTTAAGCTATGGAAGCAAAGCTACCAAAATCTTTTTAGAAAGTTCACTTTTGTAAACTATGGTAGATGGTTATCTTGAGGTTATCTTGAGAAGATTTCGGGGCTTTAGTGTCCTCGCGGCCCAGTCCTTGACCAGGCCTCCACCCCCAGGAAGCAGCCCGTGATAGCTGACTAACACCCAGGTACCTATTTTACTGCTAGGTATCAGGGGCATAGGGTGAAAGAAACTCTGCCCATTGTTTCTCGCCGGCGCCCGGGATCGAACCCGGGACCACAGGATCACAAGTCCAGCGTGCTGTCCGCTCGGCCGACCGGCTCCCGGCTCTGGTTGGAATAATTTGGGTGAGAATGTGATGGATGGCAAAACTGTCAGTAATCTTAAAGTGTTATATGACAAAGAGTACTGGGACGACACAACACCACGAGCATAGCTCTCACCCAGTAACTACACTTAGGTAATTACTGGTAGGATGGTTAACAGTGGCAAGGGGCCAGATTCACGAAAGCACTTACGCAAACTCTTACGAACCTGTACATCTTTTCTCAATCTTTGGCGACTTTGTTTACAATTATTAAACAGTTAATGAGCTCGGAAGCACCAGGAGGCTGTTTATAACAATATCAACAGTTGAATGCGAAGTTTTCATGCTTGTAAACTGTTTAATAAATGTAACCAAAGCCGTCAAAGATTGAGGAAAGATGTACACGTTCGTAAGTGCTTGCGTAAGTGCTTTCGTGAATCTGACCCAAGGTCAGCAAAGCAACCAAAGAACCAGAATATAAACCAAACTGTGTCATGGACTATAACATAAACATGTACATATTGAGTGAGTGCATATATTGATGAAACTTCAGGAATACATCTGAAAACTGAATGGCCCACACAATGCTGCCAGAATGCTCACTACAGGAGTAAGCATGAATTGTACGTGACATCATCGTGAGATTTCTCGGTTTGTTTATAGACATGGTAAGTAATATTTTTTTTTTTCTTGTGATTAGGGAATAGATTTTAACAATATTAGAAAGAAAAAATCTTGACTTTTTTATTGTGCACAGTGAAGCTATCAACTATAAATAAGGGTTCAATGCAGGGGTTAATTTATAAAGATCTTATAATGGCAAATTATTTATGATTACATATATTAAAAAATGCAATACAAAATTTCCAGTCATTTTATTGTGAAGAAAAAGGAAAAAGGTTGTGAAAAGGTTGTGAAAAAGGTTGTGAAAAAGGAAAAGGTTGTGAAAAAGGAAAAAGGTTGTGAAAAAGGAAAAAGGTTGTGAAAAAGGAAAAAGGTTGTGAAAAAGGAAAAAGGTTGTGAAAAAGGAAAAAGGTTGTGAAAAAGGAAAAAGGTTGTGAAAAAGGAAAAAGGTTGTGAAAAAGGAAAAAGGTTGTGAAAAAGGAAAAAGGTTGTGAAAAAGGAAAAAGGTTGTGAAAAAGGAAAAGGTTGTGAAAAGGGTTGTGAAAAAGGAAAAAGGTTGTGAAAAAGGAAAAAGGTTGTGAAAAAGGAAAAAGGTTGTGAAAAAGGAAAAAGGTTGTGAAAAAGGTTGTAAAAAAGGAAAAAGGTTGTGAAAAAGGAAAAAGGTTGTGAAAAAGGAAAAAGGTTGTAAAAAAGGAAAAAGGTTGTAAAAAAGGAAAAGGTTGTAAAAAAGGAAAAAGGTTGTAAAAAAGGAAAAAGGTTGTGAAAAAGGAAAAAGGTTGTGAAAAAGGAAAAAGGTTGTGAAAAAGGAAAAAGGTTGTGAAAAAGGAAAAAGGTTGTGAAAAAGGAAAAAGGTTGTGAAAAAGGAAAAAGGTTGTGAAAAAGGAAAAAGGTTGTGAAAAAGGAAAAAGGTTGTGAAAAAGGAAAAGGTTGTAAAAAGGAAAAAGGTTGTAAAAAAGGAAAAAGGTTGTAAAAAAGGAAAAAGGTTGTGAAAAAGGAAAAAGGTTGTGAAAAGGAAAAAGGTTGTAAAAAAGGAAAAGGTTGTGAAAAAGGAAAAAGGTTGTGAAAAAGGAAAAAGGTTGTGAAAAAGGAAAAAGGTTGTGAAAAAGGAAAAAGGTTGTAAAAAAGGAAAAAGGTTGTGAAAAAGGAAAAAGGTTGTAAAAAAGGAAAAAGGTTGTGAAAAGGAAAAAGGTTGTAAAAAAGGAAAAAGGTTGTGAAAAAGGAAAAGGTTGTAAAAAAGGAAAAAGGTTGTGAAAAAGGAAAAAGGTTGTGAAAAAGGAAAAAGGTTGTGAAAAAGGAAAAGGTTGTGAAAAGGAAAAAGGTTGTGAAAAGGAAAAAGGTTGTGAAAAAGGAAAAAGGTTGTGAAAAAGGAAAAAGGTTGTGAAAAGGAAAAAGGTTGTGAAAAAGGAAAAGGTTGTGAAAAGGAAAAAGGTTGTGAAAAAGGAAAAAGGTTGTGAAAAAGGAAAAAGGTTGTAAAAAAGGAAAAAGGTTGTGAAAAAGGAAAAAGGTTGTAAAAAAGGAAAAAGGTTGTGAAAAAGGACAAATTTGTGTAGATACCTTTCAGGATAAAATCTTGTTAGTCCAAATCTGGTGAAGACAACTCTGCCGATGATATCAGAAGATGAATGTTCCTCTTGCCACTTTTTAACCAAGGCTCCGTCCATGTTTGGGACCATACCAATCCTTGGAACAGGTCATCATTGCCTGAAATTAAAATTCTTACAAAACAAAGTACAGTACAATGGAACTTCGGCTTACGAATGCCCTTATTTACAAATTGTCTGGGTTACGAGCTGAATTTCTTCATAAAATTAGATTCGGTTTATGAGCATTGCTTTGAGTTGCGAGTTTGTTAATACATGTATGGGTTGACCGAGCATATGGTTCCTGGTGGAACGGGTGACCGCACATTAGTTTAACAGTGCCTCCCGTGTAGTGACGATCGCTTGAATTCTTTGTAAAGAATTAATTTTTTTTCAGCTTTTTTTAGTTTCTAAACATAAAAGTAATTATTATATACCATGCCATGGGTCCCAAAAAGATAGTGGTAAGGTTCAACCTATGAAAACACATGTGAGGATGACCAAAGAGGAAACAAGCCTCTATGGAAAGGTTCTTAGTGAGACAAACAAGCAGTGAGCCACGACCAGGTCCTATTGGTATGCCTGCAAAACGTAGAAGAGAGAGTGTACCCCAAAGAAGTCATCACTGCCTGATGTAATAATGGAAGGGGACTCCTCCTTCCAAACACTAACACCTCTTCTCCTCCCCCCCCTCCCCCTTCCTCACCATCTTCCATACACCAACAAGAGTCATATATAAAAGTAAGCTATAACTAGTACATACAGTACTATAGTATGAAATATTTGTGTATATTATGTATGAAATGGATTTTGAAGCTAATATTTTTGAGAGTGTGGAACGGATTAATTTAATTTACATTATTTCTTATGGGAAAATTTGTTTCGGGTTATGAATTTTGGGGTTACGAGCTGTCTCTGGGAATGGAATAAATTCGTAAACGAAGGCACCACTGTAATTTAAGAGATCAATGCTTTTCATAATATGCTGTTTAGTGTTACCATATTAACCCTCAAAGAGCAATTATCGTTAAAATTGTCACATCACCCATGCACTGAGAAAAGGAATTGATTGTAATAAATGCCTCTTGATGGGGGGTACAAGGTGCCTGCCATTTGCTAGCCACTTTGGTTAGCTCCTTTTTTTATTTTATTTTATTTATATATATACAAGAAGGTACATTGGGTTTGTGAGAATACATTGGATAGTACAGTAATTACATTCTTGTAAAGCCACTAGTACGCGCAGCGTTTTGGGCAGGTCCTTAATCTAACAGATAATTTTAAGTAGGTAAGTTCAATCAGAATTGATAAATGAAAGATACATTACAAGAGAAAAATGAGATGAGAGAGATAAGTAAGTATATTAAAGCACATTGTTATATTAAAGCTCTGATTGATTACATTGACAGCTTGATTAGTAATTTAAACAAGATTAATACTCCTCACCTATCTCCTCACACCAGGCCCTTATGAGACAATTAACAGCCAGCCCTTCTAAGGTTTCCCAACGTCAAGAAAATGGTCAATTTAAAGTGTCCTCTCCTAACCTACCAGAGGACCCAAAACAGAAAATGGGACAGTACGTCACTTTCGCCAGCCACTTCCATTTTCTAGTATGACAATTTTTTACCTTATGTAACGCATATGAGCAAAATACGACATTCTTTGTAGGAGGACAGGTTGTGATAAAATTTCTACTGGGGACTGGAGGTCAAAACCTGGCCTTTCCTTACAGAGGTGCATGGAGTAGGGGATTTGTACACAGCCTTGCCACAATAGCAGCCACCAGAAAAGTAGGGAGAAAACCAACAAACAACTACAAGGTAAGTCAGCAACTTAGCAAACAACCTACAAAGGCAGTTAGGTCATTTCCCGTCAAACACACACCGAAACTACGACGTTGGTACAACGTTCGAACAAGTTTTAACAACACCTAACCCGTTATAACAACCAATATAGCAAGTTATAACAACGTTCTAATACGTCATAAACACGTTAAGCCAAGATGTAACAACTTTATTACAAGTTGTAACAAGCAGAAAATAGAGACAGTTTCGGTTTGTGTTTCCAGGGTTACCCTCTCGGTCCAACTGCCAACCACCAGGTCTCAGCAGTAGGAACTCATGGATCAGTCAGCAAGACATCAGTCAAGAGCCGCCCAAAAGGAAAACTGACTTACTTTGAAGGCAAAAGGGAGGATCCAAGGAGCCATTTTAAAGAGGCATTTCATTATATTCAACACTGGTTTTCTGGGAGGGATCCAAGGTGGCTCCCTGCTGTTATCTCACCATGGTAAACCAAACAGAAAGGAGAACTTACCAGGGAAGGAGGCAGGCATAAAACTACAACCCTGGGAAGCAAGATGCAAGAATGTTGGGCACTAAAAAACGAGAGTGCACATGTGGCTACAACTGAGGAAAACATAAGAAAAGAACATGGATTCAAGAAAAAGGAGTCAGGTGAATCAAAATCCCAAGAACCCCAAATGGTGTTGCGATAAAAAAAAAGAAAATCAAGCGTTGAATGTAATGAAATGCTATTTTCTGGGCGAGTCCCAGAGGATCCCCGGAGCTATAGCAGGCTATGTATGTATTAAACCATGTCATCATTCAATTTGATTGGAGTTCTAGCCTACCTATATATATATACCAAATGCTGCTGCCCCAAATGGGGTTCTATATATATATATATATCTAGCCTACTTTATATATTTAAAACTCTGAACTGCAATGTCATCCTGACCTTAAAAAGTTTCCTAGAAGGTTGTAACAGAACCCTTGGGCATCACACCGGAAACAAATACCTACTTGACATTTCAAGAGTGAGACTTAACCAAAATAGAAATGCTTGTAACGGTTCTATTGTTACGTAAAGTATGGTGACAAATAAACACAGACACTATATATATATTTGGTCGAATATACAGAAGTACACAGGTGATACTTTGGTGTGAGTTGAGCGCACTGAGCGTCGGTACAGTATCTCGCAAGTGTCTGCTCTAGACCACACTTGAAAGTAGACTAGTTAATGTTTGCTATTCTTGCTGCTTATATTGCTCGGGCAACACCTCACCGTGTTGCCCGGGCAACGCCTCACCTCATTCATCTCCAAAGGTTGACAGGAATATTAA